GCTTCCCTGATCAGTCTGTGATTTTTATCAAAGGAAACATTTGTTGGTTCCAGTAATTCATTAAGTCTCTATTGTTTCACAGTGCACACAGCAAAATCTTTGTAAAGTGTTTTACCATTAAATCCCTTGCTGCTATTTGTGGCTCTGCTGCTATTCAACGAGGTTTTCAAGGCTCTGGCTCACAGCCTTGTGTACAGCTTCTTATAATGGCCGGTACTATGGGAATCAAAGACTCCATTATATCAATAGATGGTACCTGTCACTTTGTAACATGCTTTTTATGGCAAGATATTTATTTTTCAAAGATGCATTCCTCCAGCTGTAATCCTACATGCTCCTCCTTTATGCTTGCAATGTGCCAGGCTTTAAAGCAAAGGACAAAGCAGCTGAAAATAGGAGTCTTTCCACCCACCCAGCCCGTTTCTTTTCAGATAGTGAGAAATTAAAACACAGGGCTTTGTGGATGAATTGCTGTCAGAGTCATTTGATAACTAGGATCCCAGTAGAAGCTTTTATAACAACATTAATAAAGATGTGCTAGCACTAAGATCCCTGCGTGCTGCATACCAATAACACCAGTTAGAATTACTGCCTTCAGATAACAAATCACACTTTTTTTAGGAGACAAAAAAATTTATTAGAACTGTCTTCCCTCCCTCCTCCCCAGGATTCAATAATGAATGTTTTTTTTCCAAAAAGGTGCTCAGAAGCACAATGCTGCAGCATCACTGCCAGCCTGATGGCTGCGCTTCCTGAGTCCTGTGGTGGAGAAATTCATTCAGAAGAGGTTAAATAAAAACCGCCCCTCAATAATTTGAAATCTGTTTCCTTATGTGCTTTGCTATTCCTTTTCTATGTTCCTTTCACTTAGTCACTGAAACCAGGACAACTAAATAGTGGGGCAGGTTTTGTTAATGAGTGACAGTGGCATGGGTTGGCGCTGAAGGGAGCAATGCCTCCCAGTGTGGCTTGGGAAGGCAGAAAGGATGTCTGCAGCAGACTGCAACCTGTCTGTCTCTACACTCCCAAGATGCAAGAAGTCAAACATGAATTGTGACGATCTGAGGTGATGCTGCCTTGCAGAGGAAAGGCAGGCACATGGAGCACAGGGGGTGGGTCTATGATCTCCTCCTCCCTCTCCCTGCTGTTGAATACTGGACCAAACAAGCTTTAATGTTGCCAGAGGAGCTGACTGGGATGGGGACATCAAGCAGTGAGGGAGAGGAGATTCCAGATCTGAATCTTGCACCTCGCTCTTCGACAATTTTATTGGGTTGTTTCTGGAATGTTTGATGTGCTGGGATGCTCTGCACAGCACATGCTCCACAGAAAGCCCACTGGCTCCTTGCAGCATGGAGACATGGCAGAGGACAAAGGTACCTTGCATCTCTGGAGAAAGGGTGCTTGGCACTTGTCTCAGAGGGGAAAAACAGCAGCTGGGTTGAGCCATGAGATTGAACCAATTTTTCTTCTCTTCCAATTCCCACAGCAAGCCCATCTCCAAGGAAGAAGACCAGGATGGCTGAGGTTTAACCAACAAGCTTGGACCTGATGTTACAGACCTGCAGCATTGAATCTTCTGGGATATGAGACTCTCTGTCTACTCCTAGTTTTATATAGTGCCAGTCAGAGAAATATAAACCTGGAAAGGAGCTCCTGAGCCTGAAATACCAGTAATTTTCCAAATAAACTTGTCAAAATATTTCATGAGCTAACAAAATTTTGTTTTAATGATGACCAGGTTTTACATTACCACTATCCTATTCCAGATCCTCAGTACACTGGCAAGGAAAAATACTTGCTGAAGTGTATTTCCAGTTGTTTCTATGTGAATTATATTCTTTGACTTAGGTTTCCTTTTCCTGTTTCTCCAGAATTTAGCATCACAATGTCCTTGCAGGGAATAATTCCACCTCTCTTCAGCTTCAAAAAGATTAAACCAAGCCCTTGCTTTTCCCTACATCCATCCCACAGGCTGTCCTCTGCAGCTCCTCTATCCTTCATAAATGGGGATGCCACCAGCCTGAATGCTACTTCCGCTCCACTGGAAATGAGTCATCAGGGATATCCTCAGCCTGGATTTGCCCTTCATGGTTGGATCACATTGATGACAATATTCAGCCTGACTGGCTCAGTGACCCAGTGCTTTCTACTAATTTCCATTTCCAGCTGATAAAGTCCCATTATTTTTAGTGCAAATTCTCCACACTAGTCTTTAAATGGCATTGCCCTTCATTCCCCTGATGTTTATCACATTGTTTGCCTCTTTAGGACAGGCATTTTCTTCCACCCAATACTGTCATCTTCTCATATCAAGAATGCCTCCCACCTTCTTGTCACTCACAAACTTCAGAAAAACCCTCTTACTGTTAGTTTTAAGGATCATTCATTAGCCTCTATCCCAACTTAATATTTCTATAGTACATATATTTTGCCATGTTAATTGATAATTTAATTAAGTATTTCCAAATTTTTTTTAAGAAGACCATCAATATTTTATTCTGCTATGCAAAGAGATTGATGATTTCTTTATGTCTGAGGTATTTTATATTTAAGCCAATACAGCAGTTTATCCCCCCTGTTCTCCTCAGTATTAACACTTTCCCTCTTTATGCTGTCTAGCCTCTCATCTTCTGTACTTCCATTATAGATTGTCATACTGTTGTTTATTTGATTTTTCCCTTTTTTTACATTTGATCCTCAGGCATGGAGATAAAAGAAGCCCCTTCCACCCAGCTCCCTTCTTTTCCAAGTTAAAATTCTCATCATCATTTATGTCAGCTTTTAGCCAGGAGGATAGTGCCCCAACTGACTGGCAACTTTTCTACTTCTTGCAGCAATACACAGAATCAGGCACTCAGCATATTTTTGTGAGTAAAAGACATAAAAATACACCCAAGTGGAGTGGGTTTTTTGTTTGGTTATTTGTTTTTTTTAATTCTGGGCACACATTAGGAAGACTGAAATCTGTACCATTTCCCTGTGTACCACTGTAAACATGACCACAATACAGTATTTCATTTGCCTATGGAATCAAGTGACTCTCAGTCCTGATGAGGCTTTTATGCAACAGCATCAAAGGGAGCTTGAGGGGATGTGCAAGAAGAGAGGAACAGAATTTATAACACTTATATAATCAAAAAAAAACTTGGCATTTTTAGACAGATGAGCAAGATGCCTGTGGAATTCTGGGGTTGTCCATGTGTCAGTGGTGGGGCTGGCCCAGGGTCACAACACCAGGTAAAATGGGTGTGAATGTGTATGGCAAAGCGGGGGGCCAGCCTTTGCTGACAGCATCGAGTCCTGCACACCTGCATGTGCTGGGGACTAAGAGCTTCTGGCCAAACCTGGTGGGTGGAAGCAAAGTAGCACCTTTGTCTCTGTTATCTGCCTTAAGTAGCTACCATGCTATCCCACCACTGTGACTATTAAGAGAAGAGAGAGAATATGTGAAAGAACCATAAACCCTGCATGCTGTGTTGCAGGCACAGCTGCCTTTTGTTTGTACATATAGCCACTGTTACTCTTCAGCTAACAAATTTGATTTGTTGGCTCTTAATATCTTCAAAGTAATGCTCTTGCTAATGGTAGCCATGTTATTGATTTTCATAGGGGCATTTTACTCCATATGAATCCATTGCTTTTAAGACAATTAATCATGCATGGCTAACTTAACTGCAATGGCGGATTTAATGTGAATATTCAAGTAGTGCTTCACTTCAGGGTTTGTCAACAGCTACCATCTGAAGACAATTTCAAAGCCTTAAGAAACTGCTTAATATAGATATTGGATGCTTACCAGTTCATAAGACCCTGCCTCAGCTGCCTCATATATTTTATGCAGAACAAAATCTTCTAATTAAGTAGATGAAAGAAAAGAATTAACATACCACCTAGGGGACTGAACATACATGATTATTAAGCACTATAAAAAAAAATTTAAAAGGCTTGCCCAGCTCAAAAAAAAAAAAAAAGGATTAAAAATGAACTGACTGGGGGAGCAAACCATCATTACACTGCAACAGGGAAATGAAAGAGTTCAGACAGACCTAATACCACAACTGATACTGCAGGGATGTGCTGAAAGTAAGGTATAAGGTTTTTCTGAAGCAGCTGTGTGTGCTTTTTAATTTCCTGAATCCACTTTCATTTCCCTTTTTGGGATACCATTATGGAGATTTTCTCAAAGGGCCCTACACAGCTTCCCATGGATGCAGTGGGATCCCGCATCCCACCCCCACATCTGACTGCTACAATCCCTGCTAGAAACAAAGGCTCCCATTTTCAGTCCAGGTCCAACAGCTAAACAGGGAAAATATATGTTCTCCTGACTTCCCACAGAGTCTGAGAAGCTCCAGCCTTCCACTGCTTCAGCAGCAATGTTTGGTACTCATCAGTGGTAGTCATGCTGCCTGCACCATCACACCAATCTCCATCCTTCTCCCATGCCATGTGGGAATGTATGTCTGGGAAGCAGAGGGGTGATGAACAGAGCCAGAGCACTGGTTGCAACCAAACATAGGCACAGTTAAAAAGGAGCTACCTGACAACTCCTTTGGGGTGAGGACCATGGGAAAGAGGTATTTTCATTTCAGGTTTAATGTGACAAACTTAATGATAGAAATTACACATGTGGTTTGTCCATCCCAACTTCCATTACCTCCAGTTTCATTGCCTGCCTGCAGAAACAGTTACCTTCATTAGGACTTTTTTCAGCTTATCCACAAACAAATGTAAGTCTTCAACCACACCAAGAGACTTGCTTGTTCTTTAATGGGAAACAGGCACATTGGGGATATGGTCTTGTATACTGTAACTCTTACACAGGGAGGGAAGTAGCTATCATCTCAGTATCAGGATAGTGAGAACCAGACTTAGTCCATGCTAGACAGGGCTCAGACAGTCACAAGTTTGAGAGTAGAGATCTTAAGCAAACTTAAAAAAAAAGAGGCAAGAACTTGGAATAATTTTTGAAGAAAAATTAATTTAATCTGTGAAGATGGATGGAAGAGCAATGCAACATATGTGTCAGATGAGCCTAGCATATTTCTTAGAAACTATAATTGATATTTTTAACTATTATTACTATGCAATGCTAAGACCAAAATTTCATTTATCTAAACATCTGTGAAACATCTGCTATACAGCCACACATGAGGTAATTTTATTTTGAGCAGAACAAGTAAAAGCCATGTAGTGTAAGGATGCTTGAAGGGAGAATGTCAACGTGATGGGCTGAATGAAGATGATGAGCAAAGTTTTTCACAAACTGGATCTGGTTTAGTTTTAGCAATATTAATAGTATGAAAAGTGATAGCAAAACTTGCCAAGTACACTGTCCTCAGTATGGAAGAGGCTGTCACACAAGGAGAGGGAGTCATGAGGACAGGAGGAATCACAAAGGAGTTCCATAACACACAAGGACATGCCCATCAGCAATAGTAATAAAAATGTGCACTGCAATCTGAGAGTTCCTCAGCTGGCAACAAACACATGAAGCAATGTGTGGATGTTTGTGGATGCACATGAATACTTACACAAACATGTACACTTGTACAGACACACAAGCACATGTGTATCACGGATGTCTCCACACCTTGCAGCCATGACGAAGACAAGTGGAAGGTTGTAGTGACTCCAGCAAAACACACTCTGTCCTTGGGGTCTCATGCAGTTCCAGCCACCTACATACAAGAAAACTGAATTTAAACTGGACTAGGCACAGGAGAGAGCTTTTAGGATGAACAGAGATACTCACTGTGTTTAGTTGAGAGGACTAGGACAACTTGGTTTGCTTCACTGAGCAAGACCTGCAGGAAGGACAAGGACTCCTCTACCTTAGATGAGTAAACTCTGGAAAGGGAAAAACTATTTCAGATAAAATACAATGTTGTACAAAAACGAAAGGCACAAGCCAACCAAGAAAAAATTAGACTGGAAATCAGGAGGTTGTTTCTGATCACTGCAGCCAGCAAAAGCCACAAAGTGAGGCCAAGGCAATCTCAAGGGAAGAGACAATGCAGAGAACCTTTCTGGACTGTACACATAGGAATGCCATGGGCTCAGCAGCCCATTGCAGATGATTTAGTGGTTGTAGCTGGTGATGTCTAGGTGAACGATGCTTCATTCTGTGATGACACCAAGGTAAATTTCAATTGACCCCTATTCCATTGCAAACATCTCATACTGCTCTATTATCCATAAATCAGTTAGCATGCTAAAATACATTTCAGGAAGAACTCTCTTGCCTGGGGCCTTTAATAAGGCATTTAAATGTGCCTTCTTTAGTCCTGTTGCTGCCTGTTTGAAATATATAAATAAATAATCAGTACTCAGTACATTGATTAGCTCTATCTATTTTATAGTCAAAATACAGTACCCTTGTTTATTAATTTCTATGTAGTGTCTAAAAGAGAATTAGATAACTAATAAAAACTATACTTACTATTTAACAATTATGTTGAAGAAAAGTCTTGAGGACTCCACAGCAAACATTACACAAAATTATGAAGAGATAAAGGAAGCATAAATAGCACTCTGTTGCAAGGGGCACTAGTGTTTTCTTCAATATTTGGGAAATAATTAGGGAATCTTACCCAACTCTTTATCAATAATGGATAATAGTACAACATCACTGTGGTATTTGAAGTACATAAACTTAAAGTTATCCAGAAACTGCAAACTCTTCTTTCAGATCAACCTTTTTGAACAGAAAGTGGTGTACAAAAATAACTAAGAACTAGTGTCTTGTGACTGTGTCTAGCCCTCAAAAATATTTTTCTTCTGTTGTGAGCATGAGTGACCTAAATCTTTTAGCAACTCTTATTTATTGTAATTTAGAACTGTTTTATCAGGGTTGGTGAAGAAGATCCAGTTTTACACCTAAGAATGAGAACATAATCAGAACCACTATTTTCAACAGAAAATAATTAAATCAAGCATATTTCCTTCATGTGAATTATCCATGAATGGATTTAAATGTCACTCTTTCACCTTTATTCACAATTTTCTAGGGATTTCAGTAGATCTGTTTCAGATCAAAGAATTCTGAGTGATAATTCACCTTTTTCATGGGGGTGTCCAGACACAAAACAATGACAATATTCTTCTGCAGGCAGAGGAATAAATGGTAGATTCTAAATGCAGAAGGAGTGCTTGCAAAGCCTTTATGCCAATAGAAGCCTAAACATGACTTTAGGCAACTATTAAACTACTTCTTCCTAAATTACATTATTATGATTATCATCATCATCATCATCATCATCATCATCATCATCACTATCATTATATTTACAAAAAGTAAAATATTTTTCACAAGAGGAAATTATTTTCACTTAAATGAATAACCACACTTTTATATATATACATTTATACATAGATGTGTGTGTGTGTTCAGTGTCTTCTCAGCATGAGTAGAGAAGTAACTTCTGGCAGTGTAGCAGCTAATAACAGTACTGTGCTCTGGAGTGTCACTACAATTGTAGCTCTGAAGACATCATGATAGTAAAGATTTTTGTATGTATTTATGAAATTTTTCTTATCTCTGTGGGTAGTAACATATCCTCAGGTACAGACGAAAATGTCTTCAGTGCATTAATATTGATAGTATTATTTGTATCTTAGAATTATGAATGCAGGATGTTAAAAAAAAAATTCTTTAGTACTAAGAAGTGGTATGTTGCTTCAAAGATAATCCTCCAGGGATAAATCCCAAACATCAGCTTCATAAAGCTTCACAGAGCGTGTAAACATAAGAGCAGAAGGGCTGCAGGGAGTGAGGTAAAGAAGTGGCATTGTAAATATAACTTTGCCAACATGATTCTTATCTAATTTTGTTGATTTATTTGGACTTTGCATTTTGCATCTTTCAAAGGGTGGAAGAAATTGACACAAGATTTGGTTCCATCTGGTTTGGTCTATAAAGCTGGAGATGTGAGTGCACATAAAATATTAGAAGAGACCCAAAAGAGACTGTTTTCCATCCTTTGTCTTTTTTTCCCTCTCTGAAGGACAATTCAGTGCTGTCCAAGCTGGAGAACAGTAAACTCCTACGGTCATAAGGATCTTCTCACATCTGAAAACACGACTACTGCAACTTATTTTTCTCTACAATTCCCCATTTTCCTGTTGATCAAGCTGTGCTGCAGAGCCACCAGAGAGAAGCACCACAACTGGCTATATTTGGACCACTTGCTGTTCTTCAGATGGAAAAAAAAAATGGGAAAAAATGTGCTCCCAAATTACTGTTTCTTTTTCCATGTCCTGGTCAAATGCAAACAGCTGCACACTGAGAGTCACAACATTATTGTGTACTATTATAGACTAACAGGAGATGCTGAGATCAGCTCCAGCATAGCCCCAAGGAGCCTCGCTCGGCAGCACACAGGGTGTGACTGCACAAAGCACTCCATCACCCCACTGGGAACACTCTTGGCTGCTTTTGGGCAGTGACTGAGACCCAGTGGCTGAAATCTCTAAGAAAGAAGTAAAAAAAACCCAAAATGTGTAATATCAAGCTGAAGAGGCACTGACACAATTTGGAAAGCAGCAGAGGAAGAAAGTATTTCCAAGAAACTGCATGGAAAAGGAATAATTCAAGTAAAAGCAGAACACTGTCCTGAAAACATGTTTAAGGAAAAATAAAATTTAAAAAAGACAAAAAGGAGAAAAGGCACAGAAATATTAGATTGAAAACAAAAAAAAAGCATATCTAGAAATATAGATTACTACTATCTAAACAGGAAATATATCACTACAGGGGAGAGAGAGATACAATTGCAACAAACCCACAGTTTTCTAGGAAGCTGCATGCAGAGAGGATCTGAAGCCTATATAGCCTTCCTGGCCAGGGCCATACAACCAATCACCAGTAAACTTGGACCTTTCTAGCTGTGTTGCACACTCTTCTAAAAGAGCAAAACAAAGGGTTCATGTCTCTAAAGGCTTTGCCATGGACAAGTCAGCTAGGAGAATCCTGGACTGGGCCAGGAGCAGAAAGGGAGATCTGTTCAGCACCCCCAGCCAGAAGTGAGGGCCCTTCCCAGCAGATGCAGGGAAAACAAGGAGTATCAGCTGATGAACCTTCAGCACCCAGAAACAAGGGCAGTGTCAGCTGTGAGCTTGTTCAGCTCACACAGGCAGAGGCAACCATGGAAACCCAGGAGCACATCCCCAGCTGGGGTGCCCCACAGCACCCCCATTTAAGTAACCTTTTGGGACACCCAAAACCACTTGAGAGTGAGTACCTAATACTGCTAGCACTAATCAGGGAGATGACTATCCTGATTAATCAACAACCAGGGAATGACAGTGACCCCAGGTAGATACCTTGGAGCAGGGGGAGGAGGATGACATTTTTGGGCCTGGCATCACCCCACAGCATCCCAGCAGCACACAGCCTGTACCCCAGAGCATGGGGTGGCACGGGGGGTACGCCACTCCTCAGGGTGCACATGGGGCCATGAGGGGCACTGCCCTAGACAGGGTGAGGCAGCAGATCTGGTGTGGGCACTGCAGGTGTACCACAGGAGAGGCTGCACATAGGAACCTGCACCCACACACAAAGCATGGGGTGGTGTAATGCACACTGCCTGGGAGGGGGAGCTCTTAAATGTTGGGGCTATAAGGGCATGCTTAGAAGTCTGCAGGCATTTATTAACATTTTGCAACTGTCTAGTGCTGTGGTTTATATGATGCGTCACTGATAACAGTTTAAATATGCACTGCTAATAAATCAATAAATTGCTTTAATTTCAGTTGGACTTAAACCATGTGAGCTGACCAGTTTTTCCATGCAGTAGGGCTGCATGTGCCATTGGTGCTATATGAAGACAGGACTGATTGCACTAACTTCCACAAGCAATTTTAGCACCTAACCTACCTTCCAGTGCTCTCCTGATGATGATGATCAGTAGAACAGAGATGTGCACATGCTCTTTGTGTCAAGCTCCAGGGTAATTCTTTCATAGCTCAGGTTTCAAAGATACATTTTTTCTCTTTCCAGTTTCCTGGAGCGGTTGCACAGTATTGGATTATTTCAGATAAGTTTCAGTAGTGAGTAAATGAACTTGTGATTCTTAATGACAGCTGTGAGAGCTCACATCTTTGCTACTGTCATTGTGCTGCTGGACCATGACTGAAGAAACAACCACAATTTGATCTGTTGGAGAAATGCAGTGAAATGCAGAGTAACAGGGACTGTGTGCATATTGTCAAGGTACCTAAAATAGATGTGAGCCTCACTCTCTGCTGACTGCTGGACAGCTAAAACTCTGATCCAAAGCAGGACATCTTCTAGATCATGAAATTATAATTTTCATACCAAAAAGTATGAAAGAACATTGCCCTATTCCTATTATGCAGCACTATAGACTGCTGATGCTGACACTCTCCTGGGTAAATGTCAGCATAACTCTGCATTGTGGACATATTTCAATGATGTTCTTGAGTATATTACTCAGGGAATTTAGGAAAAAGACTACAAAAGGAGAATTTCAGGTCTCAGAATGTTATGTTTCTGGTCAGGTTTCATAAAAAGAATCCCAAATCCCAGTAGCTGGTGATAAAAATCTCCATTACAGACCTAACTAAAATAAATAGGCAAATCTGTATGGTCCAGATCAGCACATGTTTGCCTGAGTGAACCATCACAATTGATCTATACATAGAAGAAAAGCAATCAGAAGACTATATCTCACAGAACACCTTATGAATATTTCTGCTGCATTAAAAAAAAAAAGAAAAAAAAGAAAAAAAGAGAGAAGCTTGTTTTGCTGAGTGAATTCTATGAAAGGAAAATGATGTATTTCTCAGGGCCACTATGAATTGACTGGAAAACTACCAACATCCACCAAACATATGGTTTTATGTGGAAGAGTATGCCACATCTCCCATTCTGCTTTCCAGTTCAACAGTGAATTTGCCCTAATTTGTTAACTACAAACACAAAGCATACTTCCATGTTTCCTGCAAACTGGGAGCTGGTCTATTTGAGCAGTGACCCCAGAACACCCCATAGCTCCCAACATGGATCGACACGCTCCTTTGGGCCAGAGGTGCTCCCGGTGGCACTTCACAGTTCAGTGCTTTCCAGCTGCAACAGCTGACTTCCTATTCTATGGAAAGAGCAGTTGGAAAATCAATAGTTCTTTGCTGATTAATAACTGATTTTTCCACTGACCAAAATGTAGCATGGGTCCCACTCTAGCAGGCAAGCACAGGTCATGCATGGCTGCAGCTCCACTCTTAATGAGGCAGAACTGAAAATTCCTTCCTTCCTTCCTTCCTTCCTTCCTTCCTTCCTTCCTTCCTTCCTTCCTTCCTTCCTTCCTNGGCCCGGGGCTGAGGGGGCCCGGCTCGGCCGCTCAGCCGCAGGGCCCCTGCACGGTGCGCTTGTGGACAGGGCTTTATTTTGAGCGGTTTTGTTTATGTACTCATCTGTTTCATCTCTCTGCAGGCATGAGGAAGGGACCGTCAGGAACTCCACGAAGCTGCAGGACGTGTCCCGGTCAGGCTTCCTGGGGAGGTGGTCAAGGGAAGAGGATGGTGTGGCAGATAATGCTGAAGACCTCAGGTCAGGCGATGTGGACTCTGGCGCTCCCTACCCTGGGTCTGCTGCTTTTCTTTCATCACAGCAGCGCCAAGGGCCTGGCGAGGATGCTGGCCAAGTGCTCCGGCTCCTGCGGCTCTGAGCAGCCACAGCGGGGCTCCTGCGCTCAGAGGCTGAAGAGCTCTTTGGGAAATTACCCTATGGAGCTGCGCGCTTTGCAAAGCTCTGTGGCAGGATTTCATTAGCCCCGCTTTAGGGAGAGCCTGCCCACGCTGGGACAGCCGGGCACACGAGGAGAGGGCTGCACCACTACTGCTCCCCGTCTGGCTCTAGGGCATCTGGCCGTGATGGACAGCCGGAGCAAGTGGCTCACAGGGGTTAAAGTCAAGGCTGTTAGATCATCTAACCAAATAGTTATTTAATATGAGTCCTTTAATTTGCTGAGGATTTCCTCTTCTGAACTCTAAATATGTCCCTTGCTAAAGTATGTTTTCTTGCAAAGTGTCCAGCATGGATAACCAGAAATGGAGAGTTCACAACCCACATCAACCCATATCAACACAAGCTTATTCAGCTTTGCTATTTCAGGCATGCTTCATGTTCCATTTGATTTTGTTACATTTTATCCACCTGCCTGTAGCTCCTATAATACCTTTCCCAAGTAGTTCAAAGAGCCCCTTAGCACCTGGATTTTCTTCTCATGAAGGTATTTATAAGACAGCTCTGGATCTTTCTCATAACTCCATCAGCAGGAAGGCTTGTCCTATACTACAGGGCAATCCCTTCAAGCCTTGTTTCAGCTTCATGGGGCCTTCTGCATTGCTTACAATTTTTCAGCAAATAAATGTGACTGCCCTCAGTTCTTGCAAACAGTGTTAGCATGTAACATGCCAAATGGAAACATACACCGGGATGTAAAATTAAAGGTCCTGATTCCTGTTCACATTGGGGACCTTTAACTAAGTCTGGCAAATTACTTTTCATTTAGATCCAATGTACAGCTCCCCTAAAATGTTGGTGTTGGTAAGGGGCCAGACTGTAAATAAGAGTTGACTCTCAATTATTTTTATTGACTGAATACCAAACCACTGACTGTACTGCTAAGGTTACTGCACTTTTGCTCCTTTGTATTATTAGACTGGCACTCACATACCAAGAGTTGTCTGTGCACACACCCTAGTATTTTACAGTGAAATACATAGATTTATTTCCATCTTGCCTTATTTAGAGAGAGCAAAGGTGCAGTCCCTGAGAGGGCTGCTGCTCTGTGTTAGATTGGATATGGGATACCTGACAGACTTCTCTCCAACCCTACCTTGGCATAACTTCTCTCACTCCTTCAGTGGATACACATGCCTGATTTATGTCAGCATTAATAAAATAAGAATCAAATCTGCTGCTTGTGCCCTAAATTTCCATTACTCCAGACCACCTGCTAAGACATCCTTGCTTCTGCATTCAGAAATTTCCTTTGTTCCCTTTCAATACGCCATTAGTAACAGCTAAATAGGGGGGCTGAAAGGCGATAAATACATCTGCATTTCTAAGCATGGCTGATGCTTTCTTTCCTTAAAATTACTAACATGTGGCATCCATTTGCCTGAGTCATTAATTCCCCTTTTACGGAGACTGCCTCTGTTATTTTTATGCTTTGTCCTTGATGTTTGCTTACACTGTCCCTGTTTTCCATGTCAGAGAGCACAAGGTGCTGTACCCCATTAAGGATGACTAATACACAGACAGAGAGGAAAAAAGAAAAAGGTTAAACCAGAAAGAAATGCATACTAGAACCATCACAGAGTACTTAACTGAAAAACCCTGCTGCTCACATGAAAGCAGTCTGGGAAAGGAGACTATTAGAAAATGAATGCACATGACTGAGGTGGAAATACAATTAAACCACCAGAGTAAAATAACAGAAAATGTAGTAGTAAGGTTAATAATAAACTCCCGTCATGAAAGCACGAAGTGTAGAAGGGAAATTACACTGCCAGTCATCATCTCTGTATTAGGAAACTCATTAAAACCAGAGCAGTACCACTCCTTTCAATGGAAAATTTGGATGGGCATGAACAACACTCAACTGGCAAGAGGCAGACATGTCCAGGGGAGCTCTATGTGGATGTAAAGAAAGGATGATCCTGCTGCAGATGCTAATGCAATATTTTCATTAATTGGTTTATGCACTTATGGTGCATATTCATCGCAAGCACAGCTTATTGCTCACTACTACTCCCTTGGCTTCCTTTTATCTCATTCTGCCTCACCTACCTTGCAATTTAAAGCCCTATATTTCAATTTCATGACAGGACAATCTGTAGCAAAATCTTTGCTCCTCTCTGCTTCAATCATCCCAGCTCATCTGATTCCTGCTTCACCAGTACTCAGCTCTCTTCATATTGCCTGTCCCAGTTTCATGCTTTGCACTCCCAAATCCTCTCCTTAAAATTTATTTTTCCCTTCCTCTGCCTTTACTTAGAAGCTAGCCCAATGCACTTGGCTCCTTGTGCAGCTGGATCACCTTGTGTCAGGAGTTGGAGATGTTAATAGACTGGAGAAATCAGGAACCTTGTGGTGTGAAAGAAGGGGTCTAGGGATGGGGATGTGCATAAATGTGGCTGCCTGCGCAGCTTCTGCCCAATATAAAAGTCAATAACAGTGAAATAAAAAATTTGATGAAAACAACACATGTAAAAAAGCATTTCAGGTCTGCTTCTTATTGAAGGCGAAAGCTCTGTCAATACAATTTGCTGAGGCTCAGAGACCTTTAAATAATTAGAATAACTCTTCTGCATCTAATTTGAAAAGTGCAAGGGTTGCCAAAATAGATGTTGTTTTCGTGTATTCCTCTGTGGGTATATATTATAAGCACACACTCAAATATGCATTCATATTGGGAGCTTTTAATCCTTAGCTGTAATTCTTCAAATTCCCAAGGTAAAGATACCACTGCAAAATTTCACAATAACTTTTTTTCATTTTTTACCATTAAAATAACGTTTTAAAACAATATAGCTACAGTGGCAAATGACTAGTCATCTTCAAATTGATTTAAACCCAAATGTTAAACACCCAGGGATGCTTAAAAATACAGAGTTGGGACTGAGTGAACCATTCCCAATGACCTTCACAGCCCTTCCAAAACCTTGTTCAACCCTGTGAAAAGTGCATCTGCACAGGGGAGATTCTCACATTCTGTGCACTTTCTAGATGTAGAAAACTACTGCCTCAATGTTTATCTGCTGTACCATTCTGTGCTTTCAGATGGTGAATAATGTCATGGGCTTATCCATGGCCACATGCTTTGAGGTGTTCAAGCATGACCTCACTGGTCACAGCCAGTGACACTCCGAGGTGTACTGTCCCCAGTGTGGCCTCATCCTTAGGCCACATCCCATCAGACATACAACTACTGCACAGATATTTCAGGTGTCCTGCTTGCACACTGACTCGTGTCAGAGTCAGTGGTCAGAGTCTCTTCAATTCAAGCTCTCACCAGAATTCCAGCCTGTCCAATAGAGCAGCACGGAAACAGCAGTGATGCCCTGGCCATCAGCCAACCCAGGCTGTTATCAAAATGTTCCCAAGCACAGCAGAATAAGATGATAAGCAGCACAGCAGCACAGCAAGCAGCAAAAGCAGAAAGCAGCCACTAATGAGCACTCGGCTCTGATACACAGTCAAGCAAGTGAGCCTCATGGCAAGCACAGAAGCCTGCCCATTAACAGCTAAACAGCAAGAGCAGCTACAAATTCAATCAAGCACATTCTAATCAAATCTGCTGTTATCATGGACACTTTGAGCCCCATGTTGGGCACCAAAAAGAAATGTTGTGGTTTAAGCCCAGCAACTAAGTTCCACACAACTGCTTGGTCTGTCACCTCCCCTCAGTGGGATGGGGGAAACAATTGGAAGAGTAAAAGTGAGAAAACTTATGGGTTGAGATAGACAGTTTAACAGGTAAAGCAAAAGCCTCACATGCAAGCAAAGCAAAACCAGGAATTCATCCATCATTTCCCATGGGCAGACAGGTGTTCAGATATCCCCAGGAAATCAGGGCTCCATCATGTGTAACAGTGACTTGGGAAGATAAACCCCATCCCTCTAAAAGTCCTCCCTCGCCTTTTTCTTTCCACTGCTTTATATACTACTTTAGATATAGCATGTGTAGGGTATGGAATATCCCTTTGGTAGTTGGGGTCACCTGTCCTGGCCATGTCCCTTCTAACTTTTTGTGCACCCCTAGCCTCCTCACTGGGGGCTGGGGTCAGAAAAGGCCTTGACACTGTGCAAGCAATGCTTGGCAATAATGAAAACATCCCTGTGTTATCAACTTTGTTTCCAGCACAAATGCAAAACATGGCCCTATTACTGGCTACTGTATGAAGAGGGGTCCTATTTATACAAATATATACATATCTGTAAATATTATTTATATATATATGAATGGAACACTGCATTCAATATGAAAATGGTTAACTTAACACATGGACAGTGGGGTTGAATGCATCCTCAGCAAGTTTAAGGATGATGCCATGTTGAGTGGTGCCTTGGATTCACTGCAGCGAAGGGATGGTACCCAGGAGGACTTTGACAGGCTTGAGAGGTGGCCCATGCAAATCTCATGAAGTACAACAAGACCAAGTACAAGGATGTTTCATCATTGGAATTACTCAAGGCCAGGTAGCATGGGGCTTTGAGCAATGTGACCTAGTGCAAGGTGCCCCTTTTCATAGCAGACGGGATGGATCCTTGAAGATCCCTTCAAACCCAAACTATTCCATGAACACCAGATGTGTAATAGTCTCTCTCTAGTTGTCTTTCCTATCCTGAAGAGAGAAAGAATCTGAGTATAAGGATGTGGAAAGACAGCTGGAGCTGTGACCTCCCCAGTGCTTTCACCTCCATCCCTGTCCAGGCTGCTGAGGGAGCACGGACTTGCACACTCCCCTGGTGTCCCAGCCCCAGCACAGCAGGTCTGGTGAGGAGGCTGCCAAAGGTTAAAAAAACAGAGCCAAGAGAAAAGTGAGGGACAAATACATGAGAGCAGAACTGTCTTATATTTCATAGTACCTTTTTTTCATGTGAGGAATACTTATACAGGAGGTGTGAGGAAGTAGCAGCTTTGTTTCCAAGAGCTGCCTTTTGCTCCAGCTGTTTGTTGGACTTGCCACTGGCAGGATTTGGTCTTGCATGCTGTTTTCTCTTTTGAGTTTAGCTCACTATGCCCTGGGGGAGCCTTGGAGAGCTGCATCCTTTCCCCCTGCCTGCCTTTATTAATGGTATTCTCTGTTTTCCTGCAAATTGTTTTCTCTGCTGCTGCAATGGGTTTTCACACTTTGAATTTCTTTCTAAGGTTTTCAAGGCTCTTACTCTCCAGTAAGAGATCCCTGGAAGCAAACGTGTTTGTACCAACCAAATAAATTTGTATCAATCAAACCTGGACAATAGGAAGTGTAATTAACACTTAAAGTCATCAACATACAGTTCATAGCAGCGTGGTGGTGAGCCCCCCCTCATGGAGTACCAAGGATGCCATCAAGCTGTGTTGACCATGTGGGAACTGATACAGCACTGGGCCCTCTCCTCTGTCACCCTCCTCCTCTGCTGTGCTCCTAGCCAGTCTGGCCCCTTGAAAATCTGATCATAGAGAAATGGGCAGGGATGTGAAGGCACAGGGTGCAAGGGAACGATGCCTCCTTTTAAACACACTGTGGACAAGAGAAACACTATAAATACTTGTTCAAAAATGAAGGGAAAGAACTTAAATGGTTGGAGAAAGCAGACCCTATATTTTATTTAGTACCCTGGTGATCAGTGAAACCTCAATTTTAGAAAGAGATAAATGCAGGGTCAGCATCTCCACAGCCTTGGAGACCTCTGGACAGTACTTCCCACCATACCAGGTGGGAGCAGTCATATGAAATCCCTTTATCCTCCCTCTCTGGCCCTGTGATTCCTGCCTTCACTGCAATCCACCCACTGCCATCACTTCAGTCACTCTATAGAAATCTCAATTTCTTTCCTCTCTTCGTTTCTGGCATGACTAGCATACATCCCCATGGAGAGGACATGCTTCTGGAAGGTGACTAAAGCAGGCTTAAGGCACCTCAGCTGTGTTTGGACTGGAGGTAGCTGCTGAGCTACTCAGTGAAAGAGACGCAAGAGCAAAACAGGTTCATTGAATCCTGGAACTGGCACATGGGGATGCATCCCCACTTTAGGTGTCAGCAATGATGTGCTGAAGCTCAAAAGAAAGGTTTGTGGGTGGCACTGGGTAACAAAATTGAAGTTAAGAGAATCAAACCTTTCATAAATTCTAGTCCTAATAGTGGAAAAAGGGAAAGAATCCCTGGTGCATACCAATTTACTGTATGGTAGCATAGC